TAAATGGTTTTCTTCCTGACAGATATAATATTGGAGAAAGAGGAAAGATGTTAACCCAGCTCAGGGTTCCTATGACAAGATGTGGTAAGGAACATGATGCAAGGGTTTGTTTGGCATAGCTTGGGTTATTCTTAGCCTTCTAGATACTTCTCAGTTTAGTCTTCCAGGTCAGGAAGCTTCAGTTTTTGAAGAAATGAGTTTGATGGTCCCTGGTGATGGGAAAACACATGGATCATCACGCATCACCCTCTCTTCCTAACTAGTTTCAAGCCACAGGCATGTGGATCCTCTGGGATGTCCAACCAGGCCAGAAATCAGGAGTATGCTATGGCTGGGGACCAAGTCTTATTCACCACCTGGATATTCTCCTATATGTTGTATACACTGTCTGTCTTCTTATTACTACTGTCTACCTATCTATTCCATTATAAAGAGATGAACTATTCCCTTATGCATGACAGTTCTATTTGCTTATTCATCCAGGACTATTTTAGTCTATAGGACAAACTACAGAATGTGGAATGCCTCCCTCTTGATGTTTAGGTAATGCCTGGATAAAGGAGAGATATACCAAAACTAGGCCTAAATTCTCCCAGTAAAAAATCTGTAGTATATGTCAGACAACCCCCACTCCCTCAGCTATGCATAAAAACCTAATTCTGGGTATTTGGAGTGGCAGTGGTTGGGAATTTAACTGAGAGAAAAGCAGAGATTCCTTGGTCTTGATGTGCTCCTAGGTTGAAGAGTAGAAAATTTGACTCTCACATCGGGTAATTACATAAAACTTCTCATAAAAAAACAGTTAGTTGTCAGCCCCATTTTTGCCACCATGTCCACCTCCTCCTCGTGCTGTGGTCATATGTGTGCAAATTTCAACTCTCCTCATAGATATTGAGTAAGCTCACTCACACTCCTGGGTATCACTACAGCAATGCTTTCTATCTCAACTGATCGGAATAATTTTCAAATGGAGGCCCCAGATTCTCTCTCTAGAAATTCACTTTAAATAGGTCTGGGTATGGATTCTGGGGTTCTGTGTCTTTAAGTGGGTTGGTCATTCCACTCTAGTGTAATGCCTGTGACAAAGAGCAACTATGGCTAACCCACCTGTTCTGGAAGGAACTTCTGAGAACAACTAGTGAAATTCCCTCATTCTACAGTGAAAATGCTAATCCAAGGCAGGAGGCTTTTAGAAAGAGGGAAAAGATAGAGAATTACACACAGATATAAGCAGGATTGCAGGGTGGGAGGCATGTTCTTTAGACTCAATTTCTTTTACATTCACTGAGACTAACTAGCTCCTCATCTCTGGAAGCCACGTCTGCATACTAAATGGCAAGCATAGGAGTCTGGCCAACCTCTGCTTCATACTGTTTGTAATTTGCCTGATGCACTGGCATTTCTGGGCAACAATCTGCTCACCCGGAATGGAAATCACACTATGCAACCCATGCACTGCTTCAGATTGTTAGTCTGATATTCAAAGAGGAGTTTCTCTCACAGATCTTTGAGCACCTTTAAAAGGCTTTTATAAATAGTCTTCTTTATTCTGGAATTCCAATCCCTGGCCCTTCAAGTTTTGCTCAAATTATTGTTACAGAAGGAAAAGACAGAGCACTAGGAGGCAGGTCATGTGTGAAAGGGTGGAGGGGGGGAGTGGACTGGGTGACTGGAAGGGCTGTCCAAAACCAAGGCTGAAGGACCATAGGAGATCTTAAACCATGCTCCTGGAGTTGCAGCCCCATCGCTGCATACATTTTAGAAGCCCCAAGCTTTAAAGCATACAGACTAATACAGCAGACCCGCACTCCTGGGCACCTCTTTCCTCAGAGCTGCCATGGATGGGTTGTAACTTTTCACAGGTGGCCTACCTAGAGGCTCAAACCTCAGCATCCTGTCAGAAGAGGTGGGAGGACCCAATTCAGACTAATGCCCCAGAGTGAGGAGCCCTCGGCTCTGAACCTCTCTGGCTAGAGAGATGGCCCTGAGGCCAGCTGGTGCACAGCTCTGGTCTGTGAGGGAGTCCCAGACCCTGCCTGACTCACCCAGAGACACCTCTATTCTGCCATCATTCAATCTCTTTCCATATCCAGGCCTACTTATCCTGGGGAACCAGAGTCTATCTCCAGAGAACAATGCATGTCATGGGTCATTGTAATCAAAAGCCTGTGTAGTGAGCTGTACCCTGAACCTGAGGGGGGTGGGGTTTCCTAGGAGTGAATGCCCTTTTCTCTCATCCAGGTCTGTGTTTCTTCTGTCCTCATCCTCCATACAAGAGGGTCCTTGTTCAGGGGTATGCTTGAAAGAACAAGGGGAGAGATCTAATGAGAATCCCCTTCTGGATCTTTTAAGCCTCATCCCACCCCACCCCCACAGAGGGGACTAGGTGATGGAAAAGTAGGGGTGCCCCATAGGAGTTATTTGGGCCCTGCCAGGCCCCTGGGGAATTGTGCCATGGGGCAGATGGAGTCCTAGAGCAGCCTGGATTTGAAGAGAAGAGGCTAAGGTAAAACTGGTGAAATTAACATGCCCAATAAAAGTATGTTAGAAAAATGACTGGGTTGATACAGGAAATACCTCCGGAAAAGGCAAGGACCATAACTGAGACGAAGGATGCCATGTGTAGCAGAAAATAACGTAGGCTTGGAATTGAGTCTGGCTGTGTGGCTGTGGCCTGTGTGCTTAGTTTTACAGCTCTGCAAAATGGTGAGATAATAATGCCTGTGTGATGGGCTGTTCTTAAAATTGGAGAAGATACACACACACACACACACACACACACGCACGCACACACACACACACACATACACACACATACACACATATACATATACATATACATATACATATATTCATGTTCTACCTGTGTAAGGTATTTTACTAAGGTAGTAACAACCAAACATTATTGGGCATTAGAAACACCTAGAGGGCTGGTTAAAACCTGGTTTCCAGGCCTCACCCCCAGAGTTTCTGCTTCAGTAGGTCTGGGGTGATACATCTTTGTCTCAAGGTCCCAGGTGGTGCTGATGCTGCTGGCCCAGGTACCACCCTGAGAACCAGTGCTCTAGACTGTAAGCTCTCTGAGAACTAAGAAGAGGTATTTCTATCCCTTGTACCAGTGCCTACCTCATGGGTAAGCAATGAATATTTGTTAGTAGGGGAAAAAAAATGAATGACTCCACATTATATGAATGACTTCACATAAAATTAAAAAATGGACTTCACATAAAGAACTTCAGTTTTCCTCTGCCAGGTGTCTCTTGGGTCTCTGCCTCTGACACTGCAGCACCTGATCCCTGGGACAAGGAAAAGACATCGTCAGAGCCAGGCCATAGATCTGTGTTGTCCAACTGTGGAGCTGGATCTCTGAGTCCAGGCCAGAGTCACCCCCTGCTGTCCTCTTAAGAGGACCCCCTTTAGGGGCACCTGGGTGGCTCAGTGGGTTAAAGCCTCTGCCTTCAGCTCAGGTCATGATTACAGGGACCTGGGATCTAGCCCCGCATCAGGCTCTCTGCTCAGCAGGGAGCCTGCTTCCTCCTCTCTCTCTGCCTGCCTCTCTGCCTACTTGTGATCTCTGTCTGTCAGATAAATAAATAAAATCTTTAAAAAAAAAAAAAAAAGAGGACCCCCTTTATTCTCTATAGACCCTGGTGGCCTCAGGGCACTCTAACCCTTGGGGAAAGGTTCTCCTCTAATGCACTCATTATGCAGCACCCATCTTATAGGCAGGGAGTGGCAAGAAGAGGCACCCTTCTCTCTCCTGCCCTCCAAACCCCCACCTTCATCCTGCCAAGACCATTTATGCCCAGTGGGATTCAGGAGTGATGGAGGAATTCAAAGACAACCTTGAAAGTTCCCTTTTCTATGATGTCAAAAAAAAAAAAAAGAAAGAAAAGTTCTAATAGTTTATTCTTACAAAAGAAGGGGGTATCCTGTGTGGAATACCACAGAGAACTTCCAGTTTTCCTCAAACTCCCCTCCCACTCCTGACACCCAAAGCTGGATGACCTGCCCAGATTGAGGAGCAAGAGTTATTCTTCTTGTCCCTCATTCCTCCTGCCTTTTCACCCAGCTTCTCCCATCAGATGCTAGTGGACTCGCATCAACACTGAGTGGAGACAACCCACAAGGCAACCCAACTGGTTAAGGAAAGCTCAGATCACAATAAACTCAAGAACTCAAGGTACAGAAAACTCAAGAAAAAAAAAAATAAAGAAGCTCATCCCAGAGTGTCAGGAAGGGTAAAAAATAAGCATTATGCAGGACTCAGACTCTGAGGGTATCATTTTTATTGTTACATGGCCTCAAGCTATCCCAGATGCTGGGGTTGCCTATTGGGATAGATCATGGCTAAAGCTGCCAACCCACAAGCCCTTGCTGAGCAGCTGCTTGCCCCAGGAGAAGCACGGGACTTCAAGGATATTCTCACTCCACTCAAACAGGAGTTTATAACCTACTTGGGCAGGAAAAACAGACACATCTTAAAAGGGAAATAATTCAAGAGAGGTTGCAGAGCAGTTACCCGGTTGCTGGTATAGACAATGCAATGAGTTCTAGGAAGTCAGTGTAGGCTCCTGTGGGTAGGAACAAACAGAAAAGACTCCAAGGAAGATGTATTGAAAGATGGGCTGGATTTCAGAGGCTGGGCATAGCAGAGAAGTGGTCCATGCAAGGAGGGTGGGAAGTGAGCAGAGGCTTGGAGTCAGGGACATCTAAGGTATATTCTGGAGAACATCCAGATGTGCCCTGGTAGCCAGACTGGTTTGGCTAGAACTGAGGGTGTGTACAGGGGAGGAGCCAGATGTAGGCTGGAAAGGTGCCCAAGATTAAGGTGTGGATCCTGAGGTGGCATGCAATGCAGTTTGGACATCACTTCTGCATCAAGGAACCTCCGACTGTCTTTGGAAGATGCACAGAGAACATGTTGGAAATTGAGGTTGCTGGGAAAGGAGGCATGACATTTTCAAGGCAGGAGGCAGGGATGTCTCAACCATGCTTCCTTAAAAGTAAGCACCCTTTGTTCCAGCAGAGAAACCTCCTTTCACTCCAACACAGGTGCCTCCTTGGTCTCCACAATCACTGAAACCTTGTGGCTCTGGAATCCCATCGCAAGGTCCAAAGCTGTCACCACTTCCTTGCCACTGGTTATAACCAGTTGGGCCACAGTTGGGGGCCTCAGTGTCCAGGCGGCATGGGCTGGACTCATGACAGCCTAGGTCTCCGGGGCATGGGATTGCATTTGGTCCTGAGCTTGGGCTGGGACAGCACCTAGGCTCCACACATGGCTCTGGGCTTGGGCAGGGTGCTGGAAGGGGAATTGGCTCTGGAAGTGAGGAAGGTTCTGGGTGCTCATAGGGCTGTGGACATGGACGTGACTCGGGAAATTCACGCTGCACTGATCTGGGATGTGGGGCTGCACGCGGGGCTGGATGTGGTTCTGGACACAGACAGGGTTCTGAACGACGCCGCAGTGGAGGACATGGACGGGGCTCTGACCTTGCACATGGCTCTGGGCGTGGATATGGCCGTAGAGCAGGACGTGGACATGAACGTGGGGCAGGAAGCGGGCATCGCTGCAGTGATTTCTCTGGACTCTGATCCAGACGCCGTGGTGGACAGAAGCTTGGGAGTGGACGTGACTCTACACGTGGCCTCAGCTCTGGGCAAGAGGCGCCCCAGGAGGGTCGTGGGGCACAACTCTCAGGGCAGCGTCTGATGGGAGGAATCTGAACCTGACACTTTTGCGGGGGCACCTGCCTGGGGCAGCACGGGGAGGAAATCTCTACCCGGCACTTGGGACCATATCTCCGAGAGCAGCCTGAAGTGGGACCCTGAGGACAGCCACTGCTATAGATGGGCTCAGAGCGACGCGGTGGGGTGCAGTAGTTATAGGAACTTGAAGAAGATGCTGATGGCAGCCAGCTGGTGTAGGGCTCAGACCGTCTTGGAGGGGAACAGCTGCGGTAGGAAGGCTGCTGCTGGCGAGGAGGGAGGCATCTGCCAGTGCTCCAGGAGCGACGCTGGACAGGGAAGCTCCTGTAAGACTCTCGTGCCTGGCACTGAGGTGCACAAGTGCTAAATGAAGCCCGAGACTGATGCTGAGGGGCGCAGTTCCTGTAAGAAGTCCTGGATTGGAACTGTGGGGTACAGGTGCTGTAGGAAGCCCCGGATTGGAAATGTGGAGTGCAGTTGCTGTAGGAAGCAGGGGACTGACGCTGCGGGGCGTATCTGACTCGGGAGCCCTGATACAGGCACTGGGTTGAGAATCTTCCCTGAGTCTGGGAAGCTGGGCTACAAGCCACATAAGTCTGGACAGGCTGAGGAGCTGGATGGGGTACAAAGGTCTGGACTGGGCATTCCATGTAACAAGTTTCTGTATAACAAACGGGAGCACATTCTACATAGCAGGTCTGAACAGGGCATGGAGCTTCACACTGCACATAGGAAACCTCAGGCTGGCATGGGCCCTGGCATTGAACACAGGAGATTTGAGACTGACATGGAGCCTGGCACTTCACCTGGGTGGTCTTAGACTTACTTGAAGCCTGGCACTTCGCTTGTGTGGTCTTAGACTGGCATGGAGCCTGGCACTTCACCTGCATAGTCTGGGACTGACATGGAGCCTGGCATTTTACCTGGGAAGCTTGAGCTGGGCATGGTGCAGGACACTCCATAATTTGCATCTCACAGGGGACTTGGACTACCACCTGACTCTTGGCACTGGGGGACTGGGAGGGGTAGAAGGAGGAATTCTTCACAGAGCACTGGGGGAGCGACAGGCAACACTGAATCTGCTGCTGGTCACACATTGTTCTGATGCAGGCAGGTGAGTGAGGCCTGATGGTAGAAAGATCAGTGTCAGGAGGATGAGTTATTAGGGAGAAGGGTTTAGGACCAAAGGGAAGACACCCTGCTTCTTCCCTGTATTTTCATCCCAACTCAACCTTTGCCCTAGAACACTTACTGAGTTAGATGGACCCAATATTAGTCACCGCTGCCCATGAGACCTCTCTTGGATCTACCAAAGGACCTAACTGAAGTCCTGATCTGACAGAACTTCAAAGGCACAGCCAGGGGTGCAGGCATCCAAGGTCTCCCCCTGGAGGGGTGGGATACCAGTGTGCAACACAAGAGGTTGTTGAAGACAACAGGATTCCTTGTCCTAAGTGTCAGAAGAGCACTCCACAGAAAGGTAGAGGTGCTTCCAAGGCTGTAGCCTAATGTGGGGTCTCCACACCCACAGAAACTTGGATATCCTCATATACATGCACTGGCAACACACACATGTGCAAACACGTAAAAATTAGCATATGGGAGCATGCATTCAGGCACCATCTGCACTAAAATCATCTACTGGATGTAAAGGATCCAGTCAGTTATTGGGCAGCTCAACCCCAACATAAAATGCTTGTTTCTCTACATTCAATCTTTTTAGGTATATTTGTTTAAATGGCCCTCATGGACATATGCAAAATACACACAGACAAAACACACCAACCTTTGGAAAGGCTCAGAACCACCATGAAAACTTGCCCAGGCAGATTGCTATTGTAAATCGCCTGAAGTGGGACAATTTACTGGCTTCACAAATATCTTACCCCAGCCCCTCTTAAAGTCAGGGAATGACTGCCTAAGATGGGGTAACCCAGAAAGTACAGGATTCCTAAATCACGAGACTGACATTCAGCCACACATAAACCCCTACACAGCGGGAGCATTACAAACATGACATGGGGGATGCAGGTATACTCTCTAACACTACATTTATCCAAGGAGAAAGAGAGGGCAGTCTCCATTCCTCTGCCTTCCCTAAATTCGCTTGTTCATATACAGGCAGCCCAGTGATCAGCACAGCATGGTGGCTGATTTAACAATTAACTCATCCAACAAAACACTTCTCAATAAGCTCCAGAAATACCGAAAATGAAAGGCAAAACCTTCCATTCTCCATTTATAGAGAGTATTTAAAAACACATGCCCTTAGGGAAAATAACCCCCCTACATACAACTCTGCTCACAAAGTGTAAATTACTAATGCATCTTTCCCAGGGAAAGAGGTCCTGATGTAGGAAAATGGTACCTGAGGAGGAGGCCACCATTATCAAAGGTAAATACACTGACTTCAGATCCTCAGTTCTTCACACAAACTCTGCAGGTACTCTTCTTATGTCCCATAAAAAAAGTCTACCAGATTTTTCTCCTCAGGTTTATGTGCCTCTCCTCCTCCTTGCAGCTCCCCCCCCCCCACTATGCCTCACCCTCATGAATCTAGGCATCCCCTGAAATGTACCCTTAACCCAATCCCAGGACCCAAACCCTAGACTCACCTTCCTTGCAGCAAGCAGACATTCAGGCTGAAGCATCTGGACAGAGAACTGTCTTTATATATAGGGTTCTGGGTCTGGCTTACACCATGAGACAGCTGGTTGGCATCTGCCTGGCTCATCACCCAGGTTGCCATTCCAGCAGGCAGTCTCCTCCCTATATGTCTGTCCTTGTAGTCACCTACAGAATGTGGGAGTGTCTCACTTCAATGTCAAACCTTCTGGACCATGAAGGAGCAGATTCTTGTTTTCTTTATCCTTCTTAACCCTATCAGTTTCTTCTCCATCCCTAGGAGACTTGGTGGTAGAGGTGATGAAGGGTGGCAGAAATATCATCTGTCCTAAAAGATTATTCCAAGCCCCTGACTTCTCCTTATGTCATATTCTCATCAGATAAATGTAAAAGAGGAAAATTTCCCTAACTTGAAGGAATTAAAGTCACCTCAAAGATACAACATTACAGAATGAAGAAAACATGGTCAGACCTCAAGCTAACATCCCAGGTTGGCTGCTCACAGGTGGGTTACCTTTAAAACCAACTGAGTATTAATTTACTCAACTGAAAAATGAAGATAATTAAATTTCCTTTCCAGAGTTTTTGTGGGGGTTAAGGCAATTATTTTATAGAAAAGCATCCAGCCAAGAATAATACTCAAAATAATCAACATCTACTCAGAGTAAATGCTGATCATAAGCAGCAAGGCACAGCATTTACTCCTACTCCTGAGCTGAGCAACCTAGTAGCTTTATAGCAGATGCTCAGTTAATGCTATGGAGTAGTCCTTGAAGACAACATAGTGCAGGACAGAAGTAATAACCTGGCATCCTATGTAGCAGTCACAGTCAGGATGAGACATCTTTTTATCTTTTGCCCACATAATTTTTGTTTATATAATTTAGTAATTAATCATTAATATTTAGAAATAGAGAAATTATACTTAAGATTCTAGACATCCAGCTTTCCCTCACCTATGATCTGTCATAGTAAGCCTAATTTCCATAAGCCCAATAATTAATAGTGCCCCTCTTAGATAGGGTATATAGTTTTAGGCTCTACATCTACTTGCATATTCTACAATTCTCCATCATTATATATAGTATATCTGTGATGCAATGCAAAGAATAGTGGTTTTAATTATTTTACTTATTCTCTTGTTTTTCTTTGGTGAGATTAAAGGAAAGTGAAATAATCCTTCTGCCTGGATCATTTCACTTTTTTTATGTAACCTTCCAACCTTTCTAGGTATTAAGATTCTAACCAAGCTTGTGAGCATAGACTTTAGACAGATTTGGGATTGAATCTGAGCTCTAGTACTTGCTAATGGGTAAGGCTACTTAACCTCCATGAGCCTCAGATTGACTATCTATAAAGTGGAAATAAGAAAAGAAAATAAATAAGAAAAATAAAAAGGAGGAGGAAGACGGTACATAGGAGGAAAAAGAAATAAGAAGAGAAATAAGGAAGAGGAAGAATTGGAAAAGTCATAGGATTATCATGTGACTTAAATGTGATTTAAGTGATCTAAACTATTTAGCACTCAGTTACCCATTTAGCTCTCAGGGTTTTAGTTTCCTCACATTAAGATGGGAGTGAAAATACTTCACTAGGTTCTCATGAAGATAAAATCAGATAATGGGTATGAAATTGCTTTGTGACCTACACTACACATACCAGTCCCTCCTATGGACAAGTCTCTGCCCTGGTCCACCTGACTTTAGAGTTCAAGTTCTGGGTCCCAATACTCATTCCAAAGGGGGTCTCCAGATATCATTTCAAATTTGGGTAGGATCATAGATTTTCAGAAGGTCAAAGCAACAAGGGTCCCCAGGAATTTTCCAGTCCTACCTGGTCATTCTACAGATTAGGACTCCAAAGCCCCAAAAGATGAATCTCTCTGAGGCTTAAAGCTAATGTTGGTTGTCTTGGAGAGATAAGACTCCAGGTAGCTCTAGTCCCAGATCAGGACTTTTTCCACTACAACAGAGAAAGTAGTTCTCTGAGCACACAGTTTGGCCAAGGTACTCTGAACTTGTATAGCCTTGGGCTTGATTTTGGCCTAGAAGTTATTCAGGAGATCAGTGAAGAAGGAAAACTGAAAACATAGACCAGCTGGCCTCACCAGAATGTGAATTATTGAATCCCAGAGTCTCCCTCACTCATCTCTTGATAGGATGTGCACTTCCTGATGGAAGAATCTCTTTTTACCTTTTTCATCATTGTATCTCTAGATTCCTGAATTAATATCAATATGTTGATGGATGGGTGGAGAGAAGAATGGAAGAATGGCATGAAATTGGGCTTGTTTCACACATCTTAAACCACTGGAGAATGAATTGATACCGTCCAATCCAAAGACCAAAAGAGCACTGTGACTCTTGTTACTTCCTTCTGCTCGCATTTTTAGAGAGCAGTGGGAGGAGAGTCATGGAGGAGGACCCTGAGGGTAAGTCTTACAAATGACCAGGAGCTAAGATGCTGGTTTTCAATTATCTATAGATAGATGGGACTATTTAGAAATATACATGGTTAGACATATAACCATATAAACCTAGGAACAGGTGATAACAATGTGGTGATGTATAAAATTGATATAAAGATATCAAAAGAAAGCTGAGTAAATAGATATCTATAAAACTGATAAAAATAGAAATAGATATAATAAAATGTAGACCAAAAGAGATGAGTTAGAGATTAAAAATATGTAGAAGTATAAAGAGTACAAGCTGGGAGTGAAATAGGTCATGTCACAGAAGCACAGCATATATGGATTCATTAATTTAAAAAGATGGAGGCAACTCAAAAAGCATGCATAAATCCAGAGATAACTGAGCACTTGCTATATAACTATCACTTGGCTAAGAATTCAACATATATTAACTCTCTCCATCTTTAAAATAGCCCTGGTAGGGTACAAATTATTATTATTATTTTATAGCTGAGAAAACAAAATTCAAAGCTATAGTAATTTGTTGGTGGTCACAAGCTTGGAAATGGCAGAACCAGGATTCAAAGCCAAGTTTTCTAGAGGTAGAGGCTCAGGTAGTAGATATACAATGAGACAAAATTACCCTGAGTTACAGATATTTAGAGAGGCACTCTATGCTTTGTTGTACTATGAGATGCTTTTTAGGAGTTATGATCCTCTGGGGCCCAGGCTTCCTGAACCTTAATGGAATTCACTTAATGGAATAACACTGTGTGTTAGGATGCCTTGATCCTAAGAGCTAGAATAAATACTTATCCTATCTTTGCAAAGATGTATGTTTTTAAACTGATTTGATAAAACCTCTGCCACATTCTTCTTTTCACTTGAGTCCCCTCCTATCATTATAATAGCTGGAGGTTCAGGGACTCATCCCTGAAATGGAGGTGATATTTGCCATCTCAGATATCTTTCAATCTTTCCATATAAATTATGAGTATCTTGTGACTGCTACCCTCAAGAATTGACGTAATCAGGGTTTTACCCTATCACCAGGGTACT